GATTATATAAATATAGAAAGTTGGGAAGAAATTATCATTAAAGAGAATGTTAAAGAAGAAGTATATTAAGATCACTTAATAGAGATACTTTAGCATAATCTAGGATCCAAATAAAAGTTAACCTTTTATTCAGATGAATTACTAATAAATCATGGCAGTGACAATATGAAGATAGAAGCAGCAAGGATTCAAATAAGTGATACAGGAAAAGAAAGTAGATTTCAAACAGGAGTAGACAGTTGACCCTCATCTATATATACAGAACTAACAACAATAGTCACAATACTCCTAGTAGTTCCAATAGATAGCTCAATTAAAATCTCTATAGATAGTCAAGCCTATATCTTAAAGTGGAAAATAGTTAAGAAAGATGATTCAAAAAGAATATATAAAAGATAGCTAAAGGATAAAAACTGGTCATTATGGGCACGAATGGTAAAACTGGTCAAGAAAAAAGATCTAGATCTGAAGTTTATCAAGGTCAAGGCACATTCTCTAGATTTCCATAATAATAAAGCAGGTATTCTAATCAAAGATGCTTTTAAACTTCTAGTAATAGAATGGAAAAATCTTACCTAATACAAAATCACTACAAAAATCAAGTGGCAGAACAAAACTTTAGATGATTCTATAAGACAATTTATCAAGAAAATGAATAATAAGACTACAGTATATTAGTAAACATTATAAAGCAGAATTGAAAGAAAATAAAGTTATCAGATTCAAGAACAACAAGGCTATACATGAGATCTAGTATAAAGAGAATAAATAGCCATACATGGGATACATCTTTCAAAGATTGTTAAAGAAAAAGCTTCCTGATCAAGCTAATAAATAATGAACTATTAACACTGAATAAATTAATGATAAGAAGGCCAGATATATACAAGCAAATAAAATGTACTACATGTGATCTTTAGGAGGAAGAACCAATTAATCATTTGCTAGAATGTCTAGTATATAAGGAACAGATGAAGAAGATATAGAATAAAGGTCTCGAAGGAGTTCTGATGAATTTCAGAAAACTTTCACAGGAAAAGAAAAAGGAAGCAGAAGAGAAGAATACTAGATTAATAGTAGATAACAGTAAAAAAATAGGCGAAGTAGACAAGTAGTCATTCAGGTTAGTAAAACAGTTCTCAACAACTAGTTAGGATATGCTAAGTTTTTTTGCAGGGTTAATAAGAAGCAAACTCATTTTCGAGATAGCAAACCTTAAATGCCATGGTAAAAGAAGTAAAAAGAAGCAAGAAGATAGATCAAGAAGTTGCAAAGTATGACTTGTAATTAGTTCTAGAAAAAGGTTTAGAACGCAGGATGTGAAAGGATGATAGAATAGGAATGATTGCAAGGAATTCAAAAAAAGGATAAGATAAAAAGATCCCTAACCTCTCAGGTGCTAAAACCATATGACTGGAAAGAAAAACTTTGATATTGGAGAAAGGAAGATTAGAAGATAAAGATTTAAAAGATATCTTATCAAAAGGGATTAGATTTGGGATAAGATAGTTGGGTTTTGAGTAATGTTAGAACTTAAAGAGTAATCTGCAGTAGTGATCTGTAGGCAATAATATTAAGAGTTGAAAGGATTTTTACCTGAACAACTAATGGAGCAATAAATCACTTCCAAAGTTGCACTTAGAGTAATAATTACAAAAACAAGTGAGCTAATTGGCATTTTTTAACTTTAGCGATTCATATTATATGTATAGTTTACAAATGTTTAATAAAGCACACATAATTAGCCTGATAGAGAGTTAAAAAAAAAAAAAGTATAATAAAGGATATAAAAAAAATTATTTATTAAATTAATAAAAAGTTATTTATAAATATAAAAAATTATCCTTTACATCTGCAGTAGTAACCTGCAGGCAATGAAGTTAATAAATGGAAGGATCTTTATCTGAACTACTAATGAAATAATAAATCACTCCCAAAGTTACACTTAAAGTTTTGATAAAATTCAAAACAGAAACAAGTGAGTTAGGTAAATATTTAACTTTAGCAATATATTTTATGATGTAAAGTATACAAAATATTTAATAAAGCACACATACCTAGCCTAACAAAGGGTTTAAAAAAAAAATAAATAAATAATCATCCTTTACTAATTAATAAAAAAACTTATTTAATTTTTTATGCATAAAAAGATATATTCTCAACCACCATAATGATATTCGTATCATTATCTTTTCTTTATTACCTTAAAAACTTCCCAATCGGCTACAGTGAACGAACTTGGAAGACCAATACTCGTATAACTGTATGGATTACTGGTCCAATTATTAGCGAATCCACAGTATATATCATGACCTCCCCCAAATGTTGGCCCATATGAAGAATTGCTGTAAATTGCATTATTGTTATAATTTCCATTTAAACGACCTAGGTTACAATCATTTTTAAGACATTTAAAATCATTAATTAAAAATATAAATCCGTCAACATGTCTATATCCACTAACAGAATCCCAATTTTCCGGATTATATCCGCCCACCAGCCTTTCAGAATCTTGAAATTTAGCCACCACAATGGTAGCACCTTGGTTGTCACATTTGTTGTGAAAAGTATAGACATCATTCCCATCTCTACTGCTTCGGTAAAGGAGTTCGAATTTATAAGGAATTCGGCTAAGCCCCGTATAATCGTCGGTTTTATTATCGATCCAACTCGAAAATAGAATAAGATGCTTACTGGTAACTAAATTAGAATTAAGATGCTTTTGTAACCTTGGTGAGTATGCATTACAATGCGGAACGGCATTAGGAACCATATAGCAACGCAAAATATCATCCTCGAGTTCCTCAGAGAGAATCTTCTTTAATGGTTTGACTCTAAAATAAAAATCTTCCATGGAAATCTCATGAAATCGGATTAGAGGGATGCAATTACGCAACCTTTTCTCCAAAGCTTCAAAATCTTGATCTTCAAAGTCTTTGATGTTGCTTTTGAGTTTTGGATTCTGAGCAATTCCCCATTTGATCGCATAATCCCAAACATTAATTTCATCCATTGCAAGATCGTCGTATTTAAGAATCGATATTAATGCACTTTCTTCTAAATTTAGGAATTTTTCTGAACCAAATAAGATGTCCGGATCGGCAAGAATAGTCTCTAAGCAAAAATTCTTGAGATCATCAAATGTTTCGTGACAAGTAACAATGCATAACATTTTCACAGGATCCTCTCGTAGAAAGTTATCGCGGTTTTCAATCATAAATTTCTGAATATGATCAATGAGTTTTTGAAGTCCGAGTTCATCTGCCGCGATTAAAACTTTGAAAACTTCTGAACCATCCAATTCACAAAGATTTATAACCCCACAATAAATGAACCTATTGTAATGTTTCTTTTAATAGATTAGATACTGGTACTATAAAGAATAATAATTATAAGGGCCATTTACACACCTAAGGATCACGTCAAATGTTGAAGCGGAAATATTTGACTTCTTAAAAATAAAGTAGCCATCGTGCTTCTTTGCCCATTCATTTGAAAGTGCTCCGCGAAAATAGGGAGAACGAGTACGTAGTACCAATGAATGAGCGTGAAGCTCTTCTTTAAGTTCTTCACCGGCATAAATTTTCACGTCATAATCCTCTTTAGTTTCGTAAAGTTGTTTAAAATCCTCAGCCACATCCGCATAAAATGTTGCCATCTGTTAAGATAGAATGTGACGATTTTATTGCTCCTAAACAATAAATCACGGTGCGATGATCAAATTTTTAACAAACAAATACTAAAATAAATTTTATTTCTTAAAAGGGGCATAAGTAATCTGTAAAATTTTTTTTTTTTTTTTTTTTTTTTTTTTTAACCCGCAGTCAGACTTAAAATATAAATACTTAAATATCTAAAAATTAATTTTACTTAAGATTATTTTATAACTTTTATTATTATTATTGTTTTATATTTTTATTTTAATTAAAAAATTATTCAAAACTCTTTTTACTGATCCTCTGATCACACATAAAAAAGATGTTCACAAGAAGTTTTGATACTTCTTTGCTAAAAGAGTCTTATTATTTTCCTTAAATCAACTTAAAGAGTATCTTTAGAACTCCCCCACTTTCCCTATATCTTATTTACAATATCCTTTGAACAAACTGAACTCTTGTGATCTACAAAGTTCAACTCCCATCTTTACTACCAATGGCAAAAAAGTTTCTAAAGGAAAAAGGACTAATTGTGAAGTATCTATCATCTTTCAGCTATAATAAAGATAACAAAGGTTATATTCCAGTCAAAGGACTTATTTTTCTATCCTTTGACTGATATTATAGTCTCTTAAAGTTACCTTTTCACAACTTTCTGAAAAATTTTGCCTGCCCCAGCTTGATCCTGAAATTTAGAATAGCACAAATCTCACTGATTATGATTGGATAATATGAAACACATTGAACAGGATTGATAAACAAGTTTCTATTGGCTACCTCATACATCTGAATGCATTTCCTTAACTCCATAAGAATCTGAAGTCCACTATAAGTTATATGTGTTGATGCAAATAGATATAGAGTAGGCTACTAATACATTATTGTATACAAGAAAGAGTCTGTTCGATTATAGTAAAGGTCACAAGATACTTAATTGATCTTTTTTTAAGTCAGAGTCACCTACATCCTGATTGTATGTTAGGTAGATTTCAATCTCTACTGTCCAAAAAAGTCTAAATCAGAGAAAATATGAAGTTATTAGGAATATTTAGTGATAAAGCTCATATACAAAGCAATTCAGTAAGTTTTTGTTTTATCTTCAAAAAATCTCAAGCTAGAAAACTGAAAGATTAATGCTGATATACTAATCGAAACTCAAGTCCAAAAATATTAACAGTAATGTGTGAGCCAGTTGGAATATCTGGAAGATTCTTATTAATTATTAGTATAAATAGACACTAGCAGGGTATGTTAACTACAAGGCTAGGTACTATCCCTTATAAAAGAATTAAATCTGAAATAAAATATATAGATAGGTAAGTATATTCATATTTAAATAAAAATATATTTAATTGATAATATACTGGGAAACTTTCAAGTCAATTATATGGACACCAATATATTATCTGGGTCTTTTCGGTTACTCCCTTTTTATAAGCCTTAAAATTGTATAGTCTCCTTTTTGATTTTTACCTTATCTCCGTAAAGATTTAATAGAAGTTTTTCTCTTAGATCTTACTACAGGAGGAACCAAAACAAGACAGACATATATTAAAAAATAGGACCGATATATTGTATATAACTGTCCAATTTTCATTTTCATTTTTCTTTTATTTTCATTTATGACATCAGTATGCTCTAGGGATACTGGTTTTCTTTGATAAAAGAAAGGGCAATAAGCCTCAAAATAGTTTTAAAAATAATTTTAGCTCATTATTATCTTTATTGATTCCAAATATATACCTATGTATTCATATTTTGTGCAATATATACTTGTAATTTAAAAATCAATAAAGTTAGACATGAGTCTGTCAAAAAAAAAAAAATTAAAAAATTAAAAAACTTTATATTATATACAAATTTTACAAACTAATATATATAATTTAACTTTTTAAATATAGTTATATATATAATTTGTTATAAAATAATATGCAACTTATAATATAAAAATAAAAACTCTTTCCACTGATCCACATTTTTTTAAAAAATTTTCTTTTTTGATAATTTTTTTGAAAAACTCATAAAACTTTTTTACACAAGAGCAAGCCTCAGAGAATATAACCATATACTTCTAGGTAACAAAATCTACTTTGCAACAATAGAAAAAGAGTTTTACTTAGCTTGAAAGTCAGATATTCCTAAATTATTTTTACTTTTAGGAAGAAGAAAAAGCAAAAACAAGCTGATTCACATTAGGCTTCTTGAGACCCAACCTTAACTTCACAAAGCTCTTAGCCAGGCCAGTACAGGTTAATACCTTTCTAGGTACTAAGAAAAGTCTCAGAAGCAATAGATTACACTGATAAACTAGCACAACCTCAAAATTAACTAAAACCTAGGAGGATGTTCAAGTCTCTTTGATCAAATAGCTAAAAGACTACAACAATACAACAACTTCAGATCAACTAATTCATGTTACATGAACATAAACATGCTACCTTTTCACCTGATTGACATGTATCAAAGCAAATTGATCAATCTACAATAAAACAGTAGGATATAACAAATCAACAAACTAGAACATGTGTAATGAACCAATATGTATTATCCAAAGCAAGATCAATAGTTGATTATAGCTAGTTATGTGTTAATAAACAAATACCGAACATGTAAATATATAAAAGCCACATGTTATAAACTCTCTAATATCAATATAGCAACTTATTGCCATATATGTCAAATAGAAAAATAATATGTAATAGTATTTATCTGATCATGTGATTAAAAAGACATTCAGACCTGTGGGTCAATAGTGTAGTAGGTGCACTCTCAGGTTTCCATCCAAGAGTTACCAGTTCAATCCTACTCAAGAACAGTGACCACAATATAGATCATGTTGTACAGAATATATGTTCATAAGCCACATATGTTCCTGCATACACCTGATTTATCAAATACCACTGTCCGACTATAGTGCAATAAAAACTAATCACACAGATCTTGGTCAGTTTTAGCACTAGGACAAAAAAAGTTATTATATACATGCCACCTGGAGTATGTGAAGCTACCAAAAGAATGCCAGGAATGATAATGATTATCTCAAGATCCTACCAATCTAATAAAGAATCCATTTCTTCTCAAATTACTGTACTTATGGGAGGTATTGGAAGACTTCGATCATCTGTATCAGCCGAGAAAGTTACTAGAGAGATGGGCTAGTTTGGTCTTGGATTGTGTTAAATTGATTTCACAATGGAAACTACAGGAGCGGACATATTTGGGAGAGGCCTAAGGTCCCATTTGACCAAGAAAAACCCCTGTAGACCATCTTTGAAAAGTGGTTAAGAATAATTACTGGAAGACTCTCAGTCACTGAAAGATACACTAATGATCATCAGGGTACTACGTTAGACTGCATAGAGATTGAAGCATCAAGTGACCTAGCCTCTGAAGAAAACTGAACATGGCAAGTACATTATATAAGATTTGAACACACCCTCAGTTCAAGAACCAATCACACTCAAAGAAATACACAACAATACAAATATTTCTTAAATTAAAAATAGTAGTCCCTAGTGGATCCTTGGAATACTAGGTGCCTGGGCAAAGCAAGGCAACTGACAAGATGGTACTCGCCTGAGAAACGGATAAAATTGGGTTATATTGAGTTAGAGTAGCATAGTTAAAAATAGTTATAAGTCTGGTCTCTTGTAATTTAATGGTTGTACTTCTCATAAAAATCAATAAAAGTCCAGTACGACTAATTAAAAAAAAAAAAAAAAAAAGACATTCATACAATAACAACACATGTTAAATTTTTTGTGTATCATGTAACAATATGTCAACAAAAGAATAAACAATAATCAGAATCCTAGAGAGAAGGGAAAAGGAGCTATTGAAAGTATTGGAAAAGATAGTTTCTCATTAAGATCCTCAGCAAGTACTCTGAAAAACAAGAATAGCATAGCATGAACTGAAACCAACAGCAAGTACTCTGGAAAACAAGAATAATATAACATGAGCTGAGACCAACAACAAGTAATCAACCCCACATTCCTGTTGAGTCAATATATATTTCCTTGATACTAGATAATATTATTGTCAATCTATTAAGGATAGATCTATTGGTATTGGCAAAAAAACATATGTTGTGGTAATATATTCTTACTCTCTGAAAAAAGGGGTAAGGTAAAAAGAAAGATTTGAAAGCACCTATGCTAGAAGAAAAGGTGTATAATATGTTAACAAGCAAGCCAATAATATAGGTATCAAGCTCTAACCAAGTTAAAATTTTTATGATAGAAAGCACATCCAATAGAAGTTCAATCAACTTCTATAGAACTAGAAGAAACATACTCTATTAAGGAAGTCATAATAGAGAATAGAGAAGTGGTAGAACAAATAGAAACAGAAGTGTTAAAAGAAACAGGGCAGGGAAGCTGTATTACAGATAGTATATTTTATAATATAAGAAATAGAATTCAAGAGACAATAGTAAATCTATTCTTTGTAAAACAATAGGGATCAATCAAGGTGGGGTACTTAAAGCCATATTGCCAGGAGAAAATAGAGAAGATGAAATTACATATCTCAAAGAAGCTCTAAAAATACCTAAGTGAATGAATCCCTTTAAAACTAAATTTATCAATAACAACCATTAGATCATATTTGGCTTTGATGAAGAGAAAGATGCAATAAGATGTCTAGAGGCTGTTAACAAAAAAGAAGCTAAAAACTTTACATTCAGGAGAATAGATAAAGATATGAGTACATGATCAGCCTTCCAAAGATATACTCAGAACAAAAAGTTTTTCAAGCCAGAAAGCTTTTCATCAATTAAAAATAGATCAAAATATATCATATTAATAGATACAGATCACAAGCTTGGCAAATGTATGATTAGACAAACAATAGAAGAATTTGGAAAGATTATTAATATTTATGAATATAGAACATCCTTTTATCAAAAATAGTTTGAAGTTCACATTTATGCTCACTGAAAATATATCAACTTGGATAAGGAATGGTAATTAAGATAAAATCCAATTAAGTATGATTGATA